AAGGCACATGCGAATACAACAGCTTTTATAACCCGTATGTATATTTTATTGGAATTTAACTTTCATATGAAAGATAAATGTTTATCTTCGAGTAGCAAACATTTCTTGTTGTTTGTACATATAATCATAGAAAACAAAATCTAATTTTGAGACTTTAAACATTTTAAATGTCGAACACGTTCGTGTAATAAAGTTCGCGTGACATAAATAAAAACTACCTATTGCAGCAAGAAACCTAAGCGGTAATATATCTCTGTACATACATCAGTAGCCTTGATTGCAGATTTATGTGAATATAAATTATGCATCGATTATTATCTAGAACAATAATATTATTAAGATTTTTTTCTCCATATTGAATTACAATTTCATTTATTTCATAATATTTAGATTAATATTAAACGTCTATTTACGCAGTTTTAAAATTATATGTAAACGATTACTTAAAATAAGAAAGACAAGAAGTTATAGATGTGGCAATGTGCGCCTATTCAGAATAATTAACTTGAAATTGATTATTTAAATCTGATTTAGTTACTTATACATAGCGCCAATTTAAATCAATTTCAGTATAAAAATTCAAGAAGGAAACACATCGATGAAAAATGGCTAAAAATACGTGTGACAATCTTTATTACGACTTTCAATAAGATTGTCAAAGCCTTTACTTTCACTTGACTCAGCACGAAACAACATCGTGATTTACACACGTCGAAAACAAAATCTTTGATTCTTGCGTCAGCCTCGCTATTCTCTTTCTGTGGATCAGGGAAAACTTACTGCCTTTACGATAATGAGAAAAAAATGCGCAATACAAAGGGTTGCGCAATACAAAAAAAATGCGCGACAAAGGGTTTAGTGAAAGTCCGAGCGTGAAAAAAGGAGATTTCCGGAAAGATTTATAGTATACGGTACAAAAAGGAAATAGAAAAGGAAGTATCGCATAATGTTTCGATTCGAAACGATAATAAAAAAGAATACGTTGAAAAAAGGATACCTTGAATTCTCTATGCAGTATCATAATGCAGATAGCAAAAGTAAAGATTTAAAATTTGAATTATTTTAAAAATTGCGATGAGCATCGCGAATATAATTAAAAAAACATATAAACATTTAAATATAAATGTGTATAATCATAAAAAAATAAAAAAAATGTTTAATGTAAAATTTTAGTATTCTATTTTAGTTCTTTCACATTAAGATGTTTTTAAGAAATATATTTCCAAAAGATAATATAATATATCTTCTGCAATATATTTTTACGTCACGCACAATAATGTGTATTTTTTATCATAATGTATCAGTTATTATATCCGCTAATATTAAGTAATATTAAAGTCGTCCCTTCAAAAGAAAATGTGAAAGTGTGAACGAAGGTTGTTGAATAAAATTCCCTTTCTAAAGTTAAGCGTCAGTCTAATCCTCGATGAGCCGATTCCAAATACCTTGCATTGCAAGATATCGCTTTAGGATAGCCGTCGCGTAAATGTGCACCGACATTTGGAATCGGCTGACCTGCCTGAGGATTTGACTGGTGTGATGGCTTCGGCACGCGACATAACGGGGTACGCGCCGCCGTGTGACCATAAAATAAACGTTTGGGGTGGCGCAGGCGGAGGCCAAACCTGGCAGCGTATAAACACTTATATAACGGCAATTAAACTGCTTTTAAGGCCCATAAAACTGCAGTTCCAATAATCTCTGTGACAACACGATCCTGACCTGTCTCTGAAAACCTGGCTTCCCTCGGTAAATGTCAAAAGCGGTCACGCCGTACCGACGAATATAAAAATTTCAATCGTTCTCTCTCCCCGCGCTCTTCAATTTTTCGATCGACTGCGTCCCCCAGTGTCTAGTTTTTACGACTAGTTTCGTACTCGACCTCCAATTTTGTACGCCTCAAAATACTGACGTTCCCTCGCAGCTAGACTTTACCGCAGCAACGTTCCGCGCAGAGTTTAGCGTTTGGCAAGAAACGCATAGAGATATTAGTGGCATATCGAGAAGGTAATGAGTAAAGTGGGAAAGTGAAAAGAGTGTGCACGGGATCGCAGCATAAAGCAGGACTCCGGATGAAATTTGCCGGGTAAAAGTTCGATGGGGAACTATTCTTTTTCCAGTCGATGCTGGATACCTGCTGGATGCTGATGCGACTCAGGCGAGGGAGGAAACGTTTACGTGTGAGAGACGGGGAAGAACCGACGAGATCGGAGGCGGGAGAATACGAAGAGAGGTCCAGGTAGGGGAGGCGGGGGCGATGAAATGGGATAATACCGACGCTGCAGGACGCGGCAGCCATCATCGAATGCTAATGAGGGGTTGGCGGCTTTTGGGGCAGTGGACTCTACCCGTAGAGTGGTGCGCCGTTGTCGGCGGATCGGCCTGATTATAAATTATACATTATCTCCTGCTAGTCCCCATGTATGTACACACCGTAATACAGCTAGACATTTGCAGGCCTCTGAACCCCCAACGTCAGAATATGTTCGCGTATACCGGAGACAGATTAGAAATTCGTAGGTCGTCCGCGCTAACGATTCCGCTTGGTTACTACATTCAGCGTCACGTTAGCCGGTGTAATTTTAATTTCAGCTGAATGTCAACAACATTCCCAAAAAATTTTCGTGATCACCTGGAATTTCGTTCTCAAACGGAAACTAATCGTGGTTCTCGAAAAGATCTCGCGTGTTACAAGTAAGAAAGATCATTTAATTGTATTCGCGACACGTTATTAATACGAATAGAAAAAAAATTGCAATCATATCTGATGTTAATAGTTCTTCAGTTAGTATAGTATTTGAAAATAAGTATTACGGTATTGCGTTCGTAATTCATGTGTATCGTGTGAAAGAAACGCGAATTGCAATCAAATTTATCACATAATGTTCAAAACGTTATAAAACCATTGGCGAGGAAATGATTTCTTCAAAAAACAAAAAAGATAAATAAAGTTTTTATGCGCTTTTGCTTTTCGAGAAATACTGAATAATAAATAAGACAAATTTGTTTGGCTCTGTCTCTCATTCTTTTCTTTTATCACAACAGGATACTTTATATATATCTTCGAACGTTACAAATTTTAATGAGATGCATGGACAACCCCGAAAAACAAGTTCAAAAAAACCGATTCTAAATCTCAGAGCATAGCACATTCATGTATTAACCATATACTGAATCAATGAAAACAACGAAGAATAAGGTTGTGAGTAAAAATAGAGACTTTACGAGCACATGAATTGAATTTAAAATAAATGCGATAGATATAACAGTGTTATAAAGTGTTGTATTCATATATACTATTTCGCAAATCTTTTCTTCTCGAGTAGGAAACGAAATATCTATGCATTACGACGATAATAAAATTTAACTAAAGTTAATTAAAATTAGAAAAAAAACTAATTTAATCTTTTAAGGGAATTGTAGTCTAGATATATGTCTGTACCTAAGTGAATTACTTTCCTTCAAAAAAAAAATGTTATTCACGTATTCATGTTATTCACGTCTTTGTGTTGATTCAAATAGCTTAATTAATTTATAATATCTGCTACGATTTTAATTTTTAAAATATTCCATTTTAATCTATCATTCTCTATTATTTTGCATATATTATTGTTTATAATCGCTTCAAAATTATTATTATTACGCATTAGATTTTATTCGGTAATAAACATTAATTTAAAATACAACATAATGAATTTGTTAATTGATTTTAATAAAATATTACAGTTTCAACTTGATTATAATGGTACAACTTGTAACACATGTAGATTACTAACGCATGTGATTAGTAAGAAATAGCTAAATGTATAAACGCGTGTAACGGCGAACGAATATTCTGATTTATCAACCGATTATATGTATGTAGAAATAGATATATTCTGTTTGAATATATCGGAATGTAATTTCCTACCGGAGTAAGCATTCCCTCTGCACAGTTGGAAACTTCGTACAGTGATCGCCAATGCCTATTTGAAATTATGATCCGCCTGATGTAAACAAACCATCGCGATAAAAGCCGTCGGTTGAAGTTTTAATTTTATCTAATCGGTATTTACTGCGCTATTGTGGGCTCGTAAGTGGCTGTATAAAAGATAGTCATGGAGATTATTCGCGGCTAACATTATCATGGTGACGACAGGTGTAGTTGCCTATATACATGTCCTTCTTGCATGCGCAACTAACATAAATGAATAGGGTAAGAACTTAGCGTGTGCCACCCGGTAGCGCCGCGATTCACGTAAATGATCCGAATGATGACCTTGACACCTCGACACGCTTGAGATTACATCATTTTTTATCGTAGACCGATGATTAATTCATTAATTCAACCTACGACTGAATGACAGCACAATCAAACGGAAGGGAACACTATTTGTATTTTTAATTTTTAAAATACAATACGTGATGAATCTGAATAATGTCAATGTTGAAACGTAAGGAAAGGACAAGTCATGGCTTTCAGAGAAAAGAAAAACAGCTATGTTCCGTTACAACTATATAAGTACCTCTTCTATATATATTGAACTGAAGAGAGAAATATGACTAACATATGGAGTGTAACTTTATATTTGAGAAAAGTCATTTCCTCGCATTCTATCTTTTTTCAGATCTCGAGATACGTAGATCTCACGTTAATTTATCTTTCGTGGTTATTATCTATTTGTATTATATTTTGTGTAATGTGAAATAGATCACTTTATTCTTCACTCTTTCAAAGAGTTATCTATTTTTCATAATTGATATAAATATGATCACTTAACGTACAGTTTGTTAATATAACATTGTTTATCATATTTAAAATTAAATTAACTTTAAGGGAAAATGTTTTGAAGTATTCACAGAAATATGGAATATATCATATAAGCAATATACGTGATAATGTATACGTATATAATGCAAATAATACGTGTATGTATAAAAATATATATTTATATGCAATGCAAATAATGGTAATAATAGTATAAAAAGCATTCCAATTAACAACATTAATTCGTACTCACCGCAAACCACTCTGTCAAATGGACTCATCCAATCTGAAAAATAAAAAAGTTTATTAGAATATCTGTACAAAACTGTCGAACGCGCGCGCGTGCTTTGGCAATTACATACATCTTTGCCCTCTTTCTGTGATATCAAGTGAAATTATAGAAATCAGATTCATGCGCAGTTTGAAGCTATAAAACTACGCATGCGATTGAGATAAGCTTATAACATGACACAGAGCACGATTCTTTAAGCGAATTATAATAAATTCGCGAGATACAATTTAAATGCATATTAATATTAGAAATTGCATGTACAATGCAAGACATTAAAATAATAAGGAAACAAAATGGTACAGTATGCAACTCTTACAATCTTGGCTAAAGAAAAACATTAAACAAACGACGTCCGGCGGTCGGATATGTCAAAGATTAACTAGTAGATAAATTAACTCAGTATTAATAATTTTCAGTATTAATTAATCTTCCGAGTTCCTGTTGACTTTCTAAATCTTAAAAATCAAAATGTCAAATAAAATCTCAGTCAAGATAAATGTCGTGACGTATATTCAAATCAGCTAAATTTGCACGATTGACATATGGACTATGAACAAATACGTATAATAATCTGAAAAAACTATATATTATTAATAATAAAAGTTAACATATTATTTTACAACATAAGAATTAATGTAAAAATGTAATACGCATACGTCCCGTTGTACACAATTAAATTAATATTCAATAGGTTTCGTTATTGAAAATAATATTGATTGTTGAATAAGAAAGACATTATGGACTTACGAATTGTTAACGTGATATTGATTCAAGCCTCGCGAATTGAAATTGTCACGCTATATGTCGGCTGAATCATTCACCTCTCTTCATAAAAGACATAAAACTATTCTTACATACTCATAAAATAGATAAGGAACTTATTGACGCATGAATAGACATACGACAGTAAGAGTGTTCAAAAAACTGTAAACCCTTCAGAGAGATTAGAAATATATCAAGTGTAAAAGAGAATAAGGATAAATAAAATTTATCAATATATTTGTCACGACAGAAGAAGATAATATCACATTGGTTTGCTGTTCATTTCGAAAATGTGCGAAAACATTATCAAAGTAAAAGATAATGCTATAAATATTAGAAAAAGCTTCAAATGTGCTGTGACAGCATTAGATATCGATAAGATATCAATTGATGATACAACTAACATTACAGAATTGAATAAAACAATGCGTTAAAATAACCAGAACGTGAAATTAGATTATCTTGGAAGTCGCGAGAAAATCAATTATATATACTAAACAGATAAGTCGCTGTACAATTTATGAAAGCGATTTAGCCTTCCTAGATATAACGTCCACGTAAACATAGGAGATGATATTAAAGATCGATGACCAGGAACCAATTCGATCGTAATTTATTTTTTACCGAGACGCGTGACAATAATAAGCAGTAAAATATATGAAATTCAATCGCGTCAGCGTTATCGCTATGGGTATTAGAAATTACACGATCATGATTCGCGGCGGGCATAATACAGGACCTCACGAGTTGGCAAAATGGAAAGTTAACGCGTTAATGTCAAGTATTATTATAACGTGTTGATAGGGAAACGGGCTTCGGAAAATAATTTGCATATTCAAAGATTACAACTTAATCGCAATATATTCCGCGATCCTTCGCCCCGTGCGGGTGTACGCCTTGTATTATATTACTATATGCTAACGCAAGTATTTACATTGGTATAAACGCGAGAGAAAGAGAGAGAGAGAGAGAAAGCGTGCAACCGACCTCAGAGAAATTTTATTGTAAATACGTGGTAAATAACTTAGAGCTGGCTTAAAAAGTAGTACGCGTTCAATTTTATCGTGAGTGAATTTCAAGTCGGCGCTGCGTATCTGGATGTGACAAATACGGCGATTGTTGCAATTGGAGTTTACGCACTAAAGTCTCAACAAAGTACCTAGTAAGATAAATCTAACATTCGTGCATAAAGGAAACCGCGAATCGACAAACGTTAGTCGGTTTCTACCGCACTTCCAACGAAATAAACGAAACCTCCCCCC